GAGAGGGAAGGGAAGAGAGGGAGAGAGAGAGGGAGAGAAGATGAGATGGAGGGAGAGAGAGAAGGAGAGGGAGGATGAGATGGAGGGAAAGAGAAGGAGAGAGACCGAGGGAGAGAGAGAGTGTGTGTGTATGAGAGAGAGAGAGGGAGGGAGAGAGGGGGGAGACAGAGAGGATGTATGTGGGAGACAGGGAGGGAGAAAGAGGGGGCAAAGAGGATGAGATGGAGGGGAAGAGATAGGGAGAGAGATAGAGGGGGAGAGTGTGTGTGTGGGAGAGGGAAGGAGGGAGGGAGGGGAGAGAGGGTGAGATGGAAGGGAAGAGAGGGAGGGGAAGAGAGAGGGAGGGAGAGGATGCTGCAGCCACCCGCGTTGGGAGTTCGCGAAGTTCGTGTGAGTGCCGAGACTCTGAATCTGAACCCGGATCTGGAACAGAGATGACTTAGAGAGAGAGGAAACCCCAGTTAGTCAGGATTCACTCCGATTCAAAGGCGCTTGTCCAGTCTGCTGGAACTGTTGGGGTGAGTGACCTCAAAAGGGGTTTTTAAGAAGAGTATTTATACCTAAGTCTTTGAAACCAGGCTCTCTCGACCTTGGGAACTTGAAAAAGTATGTATGGACTTCAACTCCCAAACACTAAGGCTTTTTAATCCCCAATTGTGTTATTTTTTGACCTTCTGAGCAAGATGCACTAAGTACCCTGTTTGATCTCCAGGGCATGTGGCCTTGATAGTCAACTCTCACTGAATTTAGCAGAGCTTACTTCTAAATAAAGATTCGGAATATTGCAGCCTTGAATGTATTTGCATGATCTGAAGGGCTTAATGTGACATTCACAGTCTTTTTCCTTTCTCTTCTCAGAACCCTCTAAGGTTGGCTGAGATGGGGAGTGGAGTAACGGGACTCAATTTTAAAGACATCGCCGCCAATAAAAAAAAAGATCTCCGCGCTGAGCTTTCGAACGGATTCTTATTTGAAGGGATTTTATTTTGGCCCCAGAAAACTGGACGGGAATTAGATTGACTTCAAGGAGATCCTGATTTTTCTGCTTAAATCTCGACTTCTTTGTAATACCCGCATCCATAAGAGTTTCACATCTCCCTCCCCCCCTGCAAGGAACCAGTTCTCTGAATCTTACTAATTAATATCCCCATTCCATCCCAGTCACTTCCCAAGCAAGTGGAAACACAGCTTGGAAGTTAGAACAGCACTGAAAAAAGGAACCTGCGACCG